TGAGCTTGAAGTTCTCTGGAAAGGACGAACTCTTTCTATGAACTGCAATTACACAGCAGCTGATGGTTCAGAGCCATTTTATGTGCCTGCTCCCATTAAAAATGTGGATAAATAGACTCCAAAACTACCAGACAGTACTGGATCCTGAGCTTCTCTCTCCTTCCCCCACATGTAAATGCCTTTTAGCCGTTCTTTTATTGTATTATTTTGTTTCTGAAGGTGACACTTCCGCATGCCGCTAATGTCTTTGTTAGTGACAGTGCATTTTGTAGTACTGTACAAGTGTTGTGCTTAACAGTAAGCCATTTCTTAATTTTTTTGCCTTGATTAGGTTACCCTAGTTTGAGGGTAAAAAACAAAACAAAACAAAAAGAACTATATTTTTGTTAATTATAAAACTTGTAAAAATAATAAAGCTGAAAAGGCTATTCACATTTTGGTTAGTTCAAAGGGTTTTATTGATATATGTTTGGTGTAAAGTTGAGACACTTTTTTTTTTTTTTGTGACCAGTTTCTTTGGGATTGGGGTAGGGAAAAAGGCAGCTTTCTGTTTTATAAATACTGATTTTTTTTAATTGAAGCATATCTCAGTGTTTATTTGTCAAGTTTTGAAACATTTTCATATATGTCCAAATACTTGGCAGGATTTAAAAAAAACAAAGTAGTGAATTTGGTGTAAAGTTGCTATTTTATGGAAATGCCTCTAACTTTACATTTTCATTCCATCTGTAGATTTTTCTATCTTTATAAAATATTGGAGTTATTTTTTAAGGGAAAAAAATAGAGCAGTAGCGTGTGAATAGCTCAAACTAAGCTTACAGATCGCATGTAAAAAGGCAAAAGTTATTTGTGTCTGTTTATATTGCTTCCTTTTTTGTAGCCTTTGTACTTGTACAGAGTGACTGTAAGGGCCGAACAGAAGAGGCTTGATACATGTAAAAATAGAACCCAGTGACACTCTTGTATTTATCTGTTATCTTTTTAGTCAGTCACTTAAAAACAAACAAGAAACGAAAATAAAAACCATAAAAACAAAAAACCCTAAGCTGTACATTTTAACATAAAATAAATTATGATGAGCCATTTTTAGCCTCTTGTGTCWTGTCATAGTTTGATGTTGCATGGGGAATTGCCTCCTGAAATAATATTTATTACAGCTCTCATGTGCTTAATCTAAAACCCATTAAAGCTGATGGGGTTTGGATTAGCGTGTTAGAGCCTAAATGTAGGTTACCTATCACATACACCTTGTGGAAATGAAGGGTGTCTAAGATTATTTTTTTAAATTAGTCTTAATTAAAATATTAAATACATACTGAATACATTACAATGTTGTAAATATTTAATGTACAAAAATTCTTTTCCTATAGAAAGTGCTTGTATATAAAAGGCGGTGGTAATGACCATGATGTGTTTGGACTCAATCTTGAAGACAGAACCCCAACCTTTTCTTCCTTTTGCCTGTTGCTGGGTTCCAGGATGATGAAAATCTTTTGAGGCTCTCCCAGACTTCTCTAGTATACATAGTGTGTACGTATATATGTGTGTGTATATAAATACACATGAACACCTAAAATTTAGCAGTAGGAGGGCTGTTAAAATCAAGAAGGTTCTGTACAGTGAGCTTGTTAAATGAGAGCCTGAATCTTTAGTCAGATGCACATGAGTTGGCACCAAAGGGGGCCCTGTGAGGATCTTTCAAGATGGTTTTGAAGGGAATGTTGCCATCGAATACCTCCCAGCACCACTGACGTGGCAGGAAGGTCGCTAGCTAATGTGAAATAATAAGTCAGCTTAACTGAAAACACTGTTTTCCCAATTGCAGCATGTCAAGGAGCATCTAAATGTTTAAAAGTCAGATGGGGGTGTGTTTTAAAGAGAGTATGTGTTCTTGTCATGTCAAGGAATTGGTCATTTGTGTTCATGTATGTGACCTGTTAACCTTGAAAAGGGTGAGAAAGGACAGGTATTTTTTCAGCAGGACAAACATCTCTTCAAATGTCTTCTCATAGTGACTCTTAAGCTCCAAACTGCATTATTACTGTTTGAGCCTAATACATTCTGAGAGAATAATTGAGAAAGAAGCTGAGAAGTAAGTATATTCACTTCAGAATTGCTTAGGTGGCACTGATGGCAGTACCAGCAAAATGCTTCAAGCGAGACCTAATTCTCTTTAGAGCATCAGGTCTCTCTAGAGCACAGCCTACTTCAGCTGGAAGCTGCCGAATCACTGCATTCCTGAAAGGTGCCCTCTGTAGTCACTGCCCTTCTTCAAAGGCTGGAACTGTAAATGTTTCCATGTTCTAGCTACCTAATCTTAACACCAGTGGACAAAAATAAACCAATTTGTGGCTGATGTTGCAAGAGATCTGTCTGAACCAGGCTAGTATGTAGACAGTCCCCTATCTATGTGATTCAATTTTGTCAGCCTTACTAGTTTGGTGAGTATATAGACATGTTGATAGAAAGACAAAAAACAACCTCCATTAAAACACGGTGGAGACCTAAATAACAAGAATGAGCCTGACAGAATCATCTGGAGTTTTTAGAGTTGACTTGTTACAGCCTGTTCTGTAGAGGCTGGCACCTTCAGAGCACCAGCAAGAATGATATGGTAAAGACCTATAACTTTTTCTTCTTCTTCCTAATTGTTTTGTATTTGTTGGTTTTTTAAACTGCATTTTTTCCAGGTTTCTTAAGGGCATAATGTAGAAACCACATATATGTACGTATATATGTGTGTGTGTGTGTGTGTGTGTGTGTATGTAGGTCATGTCTTCTGTAGTGAAGCACCAGGGTATGCATTTTTAAATGACAACTCTGGAGGTTGTTGTATGGGGAGGGAATTTGTAAGAATATACAAGATAGACTTTTATCTACCATACCTAGAGAAATCTGTACCTGTTATTTTTGAGAAATTACCTTTGTGCCATTTCTGATCTTTATGCTAAAATGGCCTCTCCAAGTAGTTCCCAAGTAGCTTGGAGTTGTCCTTAAAAAATTGTAGATGAGTTTCTATTGCCGTGTCAGCGTTGCCACATGCCAGTTTCCTAAACTGCTATGCAGAATCAAGCGAGTGGGAATGTCTTAAAAGGGCCTAGTATTTTGCTCCCTRTGAGTAGTGGGGAGATTCTTGTTTGGACACTCCATCAGTCTCCACTAAAAGCAGCTGGGCCTCAGAAAACTAAAATTTTTCCTATGTATTTTTCTTTGCAAAACAAACTCTTTTGCAACTGAAATGTCTGAAATGCAGCTTTGGCAAGATGCGGGGTTTGTGCATCCCAGTCATGAATGTTGTTCACATCATGAAGTCTGATTTGGTTCTTCAAGGTAGTTTAGCTTGTCTTTATTGTCTTCTGTTATGTTTGAGAATTTTGAGATTAAAATATTATGTAAAATGTAAATGAGAACTCAAAAACAGTATATTATGGGTGGCTGCAACCTTGSTTAGAGTGTTATGTTGGAGGACAAATGATTTATTACTGTTCAGCTCTCAAAGGAGCTGGAGCAATAGGAAAGCCTTTACAGTAGAGAGGCTAAGCTGATAAAGAACTGTTAACATATTGAAAAAGCTATTTTTAAGTTGTGCTTGGTTCCATTTGGTTTGCAGAGTACACTCACATTTCTTAGCAGCACATTTCTGCCCTCTGTTCGCACTTGAAGTGTCCAAGACTATCTGCACTTCTGTTACACCCAGCTTGCAAAGTATTTGCTAAAGACCTGGAGAAGTCTCCTGTGTTCCCCCATGAAGAGAGGCAGTAAATGGCTCTTACTGATATTTTGGATTAACAAAATTCCAAGGGCAAGAGTAGCATGTTCTTTTTYCAGCTAGCAAAAGGTAAGTGTGGCTTGCTTGTGATCATCCTGTACAATATATTTTTAAGAATATCCAGTATTACTCAAGTGGCAAAACTGTTACAGTTTCTAAAACAGATTACTAAACAGATTTCTAAACAGATTACTCATACTAGTGTCAAATGGAGCAAAGTTGAACACATTTAGGTCCTTATTTGTGTATTTTGACCATTGCTGTCAATAAATACAGTAACCTGCAGCCGTATTTGAAGCACAGAAATGTATTAGCATGACTAACCCTGAGGGAGGCAGGAACAGGAGTGGTGTCTAGAAGCACAGCAGCTTTTTTGTGGTGAATCAAGMCACTCCTCTTTACAGCACAAAGGATATGACTGAATTATTTTGTGTTATTCTAGAGGTGTATAGTTCTTGCAAATGCTATTAGAGAAAAACAAATAGCATCACATGTACAAATCTTTTAGACTTTCTGTGGCCTAGGAAAGTGCCCTGGATTGGCAACTCTTAATTCAAGCGATTGAAACACTTGAGAAAAGCAAATTAAAGTTAAGATGGCTAAAATAAGCCATCATATTTGTATTTGAGAAACCCATTGCATCTGTTTATGTGTCTGACCCCCTCAAGAATCTTACTTTGCCTGTATTTGTTGTGCTCTGCAAATTCCACAGCGAAGCCTGGGCAGATGATTTGCATCTGGAGCTTCTCTAAACTTGCTCCCCAAATTTGTTCTYGTCGGAGTAGAAATATAGAAGCCAAGAGACAGCAGAAAGGGACAAACTCATGGGAAATACTTCAGCACACTAAAGAATTTAGTCTTTAGCTGCTGTTTGTGCTACTGCTGCTTGGGTTCTCTTTCCCAAATTCCCTTTATGCAGTGGCTAACTGATCACTTTTAAAGGTCGTGTGCTTGTTTGGACATCAACATTTTGAGGGTACCTGGGCAGAAGAGGGTTTAGTTTAAACTGTGCGTGTTGTAGTGGTGGAAAAGCATTTTTTTTTTTTTTTACACAGGAAAACTTTATGTATTGATGTAGTGAAGAAGACTCTTAAAGCCAGGAAATTTTACGATGGTGGGTTTTAAACTTGGCTTCCTTTCTTTCCATCTTGACAATATTTGGATGTTTCTCCTTTCAAGTAACAAATGATTTTCTTTGTGGCTGTGTAATATGCCAGATCGCTCCCTTCCCTCTTTTGCTGGAGTTTCTTTTCCAGTAGCAGTCTCCTGTCAGGAGCAATTCTAGATGGTGGTRTTGCTCTCGCCATCGCTGGATGGTAGACAGTTCTTGGTGTTCCTCCTCTGCAGTGCCAGCGCGATGTCCAGTTCTCTCAGCTGCTTCAGGAAGCCCCGGTTCGGCAGGATGCACCGGTGCCTTGATACCTGTTCAATGGCATCCACCACCGTCATGTTCTTGTAAATCATCAGGTAAGCCAGGACCAGTGTGGCTGACCGGCTGCGACCCATAGCGCAGTGAACCAGAACCTTATCTGCGGGAACAAGGCTGGGTTACATATGATGTTGGGTTATATATGTTCTTTTGTTGTAAGGATGAAGGGTTACACTTAATAGCATTCTTTCAAGTTGTTTTTCCCCCCCTTTTTTTGTTTCTTTTTAAGTAGGGGGGAATTCTTACCGTAAAGCCTGGAGACACAATCCAACTTGGAGTTTGAGTGTTTAGTCTTAATTAGGATACCTTTGATTTTATTTATGTGTGCTCTAGTCCCTGTTTGGGCACAATGACCAAAGCACAGGGATGAAGGGAGAATTTAGTAAGCTGTCAGATTATCCTGCCATGAGGGTATGTGGGGTGCAAAGAGGTGCTTCTCTCATACTACTAGCTAGAGATAAAAGGTGTCCCTCTGATTTTGAATTTTTTGCTCCATCCCCAGTCTGAAGATATAGAGCACATCGCTTGATTGGTCTGCACRCATATTTCATTTATAGAATGTAGCTAAGAGGGTTTTCGTAAGACCCAGTGATATTTTGAGATCGGGGGTAAGAAGGGCTGTAGACATTTGTGAATAAAATAACTAGCTGGATACAAAACAAGCACTTTGACTGTATAAAAGCTGCTTCCCAGCTCTTTGGTTATTTTCTCTGGTGAGTCAGCCCCACTCATATTGAATAAAAATGTTTTTCCCCCATCCTCCTCCTAAATTGTTTTCATTTCCTTGCAGCAGTGGCCTGTCTCATTCTGCAAACACACTGCTCCTGCCAGTGGTTTCTGCCTCTGGATAAACATGCCTCAAGTTTTAGCTTTCTCCTGTTGCTCAACTTAACTTTGGATTTCCACCTTGGCTGTAGGCACTAGCAGGGACACAAACCAAAGTGGAACCTTCCACATTCACAATGTCCAAGGGAGGAGGAGGAAGAAAACAGTAAGTGGGTTCGGGTCTGATTGTCAGTTTTCAAAATGCTTCAAAAACTTTCCAAAAAGGGTTCTGRGATAGCAGAGCACACAAAGGGCTGAGCTGCTCAAGGAGGCTCGTGTGGAGCAGGCTCTCAAACATCCTGCTAAGCTGAATTGCCGGGGTGCAAAGCTGTGCCTGCTGCTGATTAACTCTCTTGCTGCCAGGCACAAGAGCAGTCTTGGCATGAGCAGCACTGCTGTGTAATGGCTGTATCGAAACCTGCCAGCACAAGGGTATTAATGGTTACAGTCTGAATCCTAATCCCGGCAAAGAGGCATCTTGGCAAAATTCCAGTCCCACTGATAAACTGAAAGAGCCTCTTCCTGTCATGGAAAAATGATAATCCCTTCTATTATTGCTCTAAATATTTGAAACGGATGAAAACTCTCGTTTGTTTGGCCTTTCAAGCCTCTTGCTAGAATTTCCTAGCTTGTAAATGGGTGACTGCGGAGGAGGATKAAATAAACGGTAGGACAAGGCAGGGCTTTGCTTTCAGTGGTGGGAAACAGGTGACCTAGGAGAAAATAATACTATTCTGTGTTGTACTAACAAAGGCGAAAAATGACCATAAAATTTTTTAGTGTTTACTAGTTATAGGAAAGCAACACATTCTTAGGTGTTAATAGTTGAGATCTGACTGCCTATGGAAACGAGATTCTGGTACAGTTTTCCAAGGCCACATCTCTTCTGTATTTATTGTGATATCTTGAGCTTCAATGTAAGGACCAATCTGAACTGCCTTTGTTCAAGTGATGATAATGGATAAAAATGACAACAGCACATTGCCCTTGAGGAAATATCAATACTGAGGTGTCTTTGGTCAGAGATCTTTATATCTGTCTCCTATGCTTCCTTCCACATTGCTTTAGTATCTTTCTTTAATATATTGCTTCACATGACATGTTTGCATGCATAGAAAAATGCTCTCCGTTTCACATTCTGAGGAGCTAAAACCCAAGAGAATGAGTGCTAAATCTTTGGCATAGAAAGAATTTAGAAGCATCTTAAAATCATGCCCTGCCTTCAGGCAGTTGGTCATCTCTCCTGTGAGCTCCCCTAACTTTGAATTTGGCATTTGGGGAAGTCTTTAAGCACAGCTTAAATGGGAGGAGGAGTACTGTTGGAAGCTAGTGGGAGACTAAGGCTGCCAAATTTCCATCAGTGTAGAGCTTTTTGTTAGAACATGCTGGAGGCCTGTGAATAATGATTTCTGGTAATCAAGCTGAGAAATTACGAAGAATTATGTTTCCAGATCTCTGCTGTCAAAGTGGTTTCAGTTCCCTGCTGCTTGGAAGATGACAGATGGAGATAAATGTCTGTTACAGCTTTGAGGCGACGTGATGGCCAGGTAGGAAGGTGTCTTTTATGTTTGTGGTGAGTGAAACTAAAGCTGCAGGRTGTGAAGCTGTGGAGTGACAGCCTAGAATCTCTTTAGGACACCCCTCTTGTGCYTTGTGCCCCACTATTCAACCAGTATTCATTAAGCCTGTCTTAATTGGGACCCCTTTGAGGAAAAGGCACTAGTGCAGTTTCTGTCTCCAGGGTGTTTRTTATAATAAAGTCCTGCTCCTCTGCGATGTGGCCTCCTGTCAAACAGCCTGGAAGGGGTGCTTGGGCTCGTACCAGCTCTGCAGTGAAAAATGTCCTGAACACAGTTACCACCCCTGCCTTAACTTAACAACCGCTTCTCTGCTACTAGTTTTATAAGCTCTATTAAACAGTCTTGGCCTTGTCTTGTTCCCACATAGCTGGACGCTTTGAATTATGCTTATCCAGCTCAAGTAAACACTGTCCCAGTTTTAACCATTTTCAACACCAGCCTTACTTCTTTCATCCTGAAGTGCATCATCAATGAACTTAGAAGCTGAGTAAAAGAACTGGCTGAGCTTGAAGGTGGGGAGATCATCTGCCTCCACTCCGTGGTACTCCACAGTCATGTCCCGGTAATATTCTGGTCCCGTGTCCACGTTGCGCTGGCCGTGGGCTGCGTTGAGGATGTGGGTGAAACCTGCCTTCTCGAGGCTGTAGCGGTCTAATGCAGTTTTCCTGCCGAAACAAAAGCAATGGTGTAAATGAAGAGTTGTCTTCATCCAGCAAGCCAGACAAACTCTGATCTCGTCCGTGCTACGAGTTAATGAAATTGCTAATGGTTCAGAAATGTGCCAGTTGCCATTGTAAAAATTTTAAGATGTCATTTAGGAGGAGGATGATCCCTTGAAGTTCATCATGCTCTCCCAAGCATTGCAAGGTGTCAGAGCACCTTACAAGTGAGCATATTCCTCTGGCACCTAAGTCATGCAGGCAATGCTGCCTTCTGTCCTTCCTACAGAAGATGAAATTTAAGATACGCAGAGTAAGTTACTCAGGGTCATAAGGGGAAATCAGTGGCAAAGCTTGAAATAGGATGCAATGCAGGAATGCAGCTTTCCCCTTCTCTCCCATCATTTGATATTGCAGAACTAATAAAAGAATCAGTGAGATGTGAGTAGCAAGATAGCTGGGATTCAGAAAGCTCTATGTCTCTAAAAGCTACAGGACTTTTTTTTTTTCTTTCTTCCTTTTATATCTTTTTTTTTTTTCTTTCTCTCTGATGCAATCCCTATCAGGCTTTGTGTTGATGCTATGTTGGGTTAAGCTAGAAGACTTCAGCAAAAAGAAGTGGATACGGAAACCAGATATCAGCCTTCAGCAAAAGCTATAAGTCATTTAGTTCAGTATCCTATTCTTTGTGCTCTCTTTCTTTGTAAAATCAGAAGTCAGAAGAGGAAATCTTCATGATGTTTCTGTGCCAGCAGCTTGAAGTTCTTCAATATGTGCAATTTGTGGCAGACATGGAAAAGAAAAGTCACTTTTAAAATTTCCATTGCAGAAAGCATTTGATTTTTGAAAAGCTCTGTTCTGGAAAAGCTGTCAAGTTTCTTTAGCGTCTAAAAGGACTAGTGAGCTTTTCCCCCCCAAAAATTATGGGCTTTGTTCTATTAATATATGTTCACATAACTGCTACTGCCATAAAGGAATTAGTGCATGATATAAAACAGCTCTTTTCATCCCAAACTACCTGTCTCCGTGAATGTTTCCTGAGCATTTCAATGTGTAAATGCATCTTCTGGCCTTTAATAATTCTAGTGGGGACAACTTGAAAATAAATTTGACTTCACCTGCCTGCTGTCTCTCAGTCAAAATCCCACACTGAGCGGTCAAGAGCACGATAAGACAGCTAATGGATATGGATCTTSAGGGTTTCATCTGTGTTATTTTGATTTAAATCAAACCCATGATAACTGGCTTTTCTGAGTTGATCATTTTCCCTGCAGAAGTTCCCTTCTGGACAAGAACAAAAATATCTTGACATCCCCACCCCTGGCACTTTTCACATGAAATAATGTCACAAGTTCCCCATGTGAGTTTAAAAAATAAAAATAAAAAATCTGGTCAATTTGACAGCTCCCTAAGCTCAATAGATTCTACAAGACAAAGAGGTAAAAACATCTCGCTGTGACCTGCCACCATCTCTTCAGGTCGGTCATGTTCACTCCTGCCCTTCATATTCTTGCATATTCTTGTTGCAGTGACTGACCTAGAAAGATTCTTTTCTCTGTCTCTTTCATTCAGGCCCTCCCTCTCTGGCAGTCTCCTCAAGGTTGGTATGTTCTACAGATGTCGCCAGCAAAGGCACTTTAGTGAAGACTGTAAAAGATGGTCAATGCTCTTAATTTAAATATGTCTGAGGTGAAAGAGAGATTCTGCTTTCAAGTTAAATTGTGTTTTGTTTTGCYTCCCTGATACTGGGATGGAGAAAATCTGGTTTCCATTCCCCAGAGTTGGCCCAAAGCATGCATCCAACAAACAATGAAAGGCTGGTGCTCTCAGGTCAGAGATCTGGGCMCAATTAGAACCTCTGCAAGTTGAGTCCTACATGCTGAATAGCAAGTAAGACTATTGTAGTGAGAGGCAATGGAAAAAATGAACATTAACTGTTTGGGGCAGGGGTGGAGGGAATGCTCTGATGTACTATAGCTACTACCAAACTTGGGTTCTGCAGCCACTGTTCAATCTAATGAATAATATTTGAATTAAATGAAGTTGTTGTTCTAAGCAAGGACAATGACAAACAATAGGTCATATGACAATCATATTAACATTTGACTTTGCTACGTTCATCTGAAATCCAATTTTCCTGTTTCCTTGATTAGGTTCTCAGGAGATTGCCTGTTGACACAGTGGCTGCATCTAAAGCATTTGTTTCTGACAGTCTCAATTACTGTGGTGTTCTGTGTCTCAGGATCTCATCTTTACGTGTTCAGTAGCCCTAGTGTTCAGTAAGTTTTCAGAAAGGAGGAGTCCTGTCTTTCATGAACTGCATAACCATTCAGCTCAGTTGGTCTCCCCAAGCTCCTGGGAACTGGAGCTGATGAGTACAACCCGAGCAGGTTTAACACAGTTCTAAAAATATTTGTTTCAATATGAATATTTTAGGCCTACATCCAGTAGCTGTTCCAGTGCCCTGAATGCCACGGTGTGTTGGAGGTCAGAGCCTGGCACAGTGGGTACCCTTATCTCTAGTTGCACACTGTAAACTTGGGGCCCTCAATGGAGTTTCGTCACCCTTATTCAGTTAACTAAACTGAAAAAGGGGTCAGGTGCTGTTTGTTATCAGGTTGCTTTAGCTCTTGTCTCTCTCTGCTTGTCAGAGTGTGGGTGTATGCACCCTGCTGCTCTGTTATCTSTGTTTCCCATAGCTTGGGCTGGAAACAGAGCAGAGTGGCCATGTCCCTCCATTGGATGTTATTGCAAAAAGCCTGTTGTGAATACTCAGACACAACTAGATCATCTTCTGTGAAGTATTTTTTTTCTCCTTTGAAGTAAATTATAAGCATACCAAGGAAATACTTGGAGAGCTCTCTACTCTGTTGTTTTTGCCACTGAAGAATCTGCTTTCTATTTTCTCTCGTGCTTTGCGTACGGGGACTTGGAGATGTTTATTGGTTATACTTGTTATATAACTTCATTCAGAAATGTCCTTTTGAACTGAATGTTGAAAAGGTCACTTATTACCACAGGTTCCTTACCCAGTGCCACCTTTTTCTTTGTAATAGGAATCTAAATGGCCTTTCTGCTGAAGTTGCTAATCTAGAGGGTAGAAAACTTTCAAAACAAAAAAGCAGAGATCAATGTTGAGCTCTCAAACATTATAATCCTAGCAGTGCCACTGGAGTTAGTGCTCACACTGTGCTGGGTACAGACGTCACAGAGATTGTTAGCTGTACAGGGCCACAAAAGCCTTTCAGAAGATATTTCCCCCATCAACTGATGCATTTTTAGACTCTGTGTCTTTTGAAGAAAACTGAAGTGACGCCATTTCTTCTTTTCACAAGGAGTTGGATTCAAATGMAGGCAAAATTTTTTGAAAACACTTATGGTAATTGCACTTAAGCATTTAACAGAAGATGCCTCTACTGTTGATTTGAAAGCTCTTCCAATTCTGTCGTGTAAATCCAAAAGCTGGACAAATAGCCCCACTTGCTACACTAACCTGGGCTGGTCTGCTTTTCATTCCCATCATTCATCTTTCTACCTTGTACTTGGATCACGASGACTGTGGGGTTTGGGTTGTCTCTCTGGTGTCTACTGAACTGAGCTCATGGCCTGTGCCAAGGCTGTGACACCAGCATAACACAGGCAACAAAACCTGTTCCTGCTGTGCCTGCCACGCTGATCAACACACAGAGTTGAGGAGGAGGTGAATCCCTTACAGGGGGACACAGATATCTCAAAAGTAAAGATTTCCCTGTCCCTGATGGGTTTTGCTTGAATTGGCGCAGCTATGGGTGAACTCCAGCTTTGGGTGAAGGAGCAGATTTGTCCCTTATAAAACCTTAGCTCTTCAGTTCARGAGAGCACATAAGCGTATGCTGGAATATGTGCTCTATAGAATTTATACATATATATATATATACACACACACACGCATACACACACACACACACACACATATATATATATATATGAGAGTTCCTTTCTCTGTGCAGCAATACCAGTGCTTTGCTGAATCAGGTCCTGCGTATGCTGTGAGACAGTTGGACTGAAAGATATTTTTAAAGTTTTGGGGCAAGAGAGGGCACTTTGATACAGGAATGCTGCTTAAATGGTGAAAGTTAGAAATAAAATCACTTTCATGTGATCTGTGAATATCTCCCTATCACTGAGAGAAGTGACCCAAACTAATGTCACTCCATTTCACATGCTTCCCAGAAGAATACTTATGTCTTTAGACTGTGCAATGGCTTGTCCATGATTTTAACTGTACCTGCTCTTAATTTTCAAGTTAACATTTGTAGGAGAAAATGTAAGTACTGTGGCAAGCTTTTCTTCTAGAAGTAACAATGTAGTACTGGCAATGTGAAAGACATTTCTTTCAGTTGCTGTCTTCCAAGTCATTTCWTTCTCTTTGCAAAATATTGCCATCAACAAGCTTTAGTCCCAGCTCATACTATGGAAGATGCCCAAACCAATGCTGCTGGAAGAGAAGGAAAAACAACTTGCAGGCACGGTAGCCTGCACATCCGTGTGAAATATTGAGCATCTTAGTAGCATCCATCAAAGGAGACCAGTGGCGCTCAAGAAAAACTGGAGTGCCTCTAGGAGCAGGGAAATAGTCCTCTGAAACATCTCCTCAAGAAATGGGCAGCACAGCTCCCTCCACAGGTAAGCTGGCACTTCTTTGCTCTTATGTTTATCGACTCTAAGCTGAGCCAAACCTTTGAGCATCATGCAGAAGAAAAGCAAGGCAAATGTGTTTCGGTATAGACTGTTTAAACCCACATATGATCTGAGACTGACAAAACAAGGAAATCTTGAGTCAACAAGTTACGAGAAGAGGAATTGTCACACTCAAACTTTCCCGTTTTCTTAAGCACCAAAGGAAAGCTTGATGCAGGATGATAATTTACCATCTGGTCAGTGTCAGAAAGAAGCTTTCTCAATATAGGCAATACTGACACTTTCCTTTAAAAATCTGGCAGCTTTCCCTCATGAGATTTTGAGAATTTCCAATAATACTGACCCAATTTCCTTTAACTACAGCRTCCAGGGAAGCTAGAGATAGTATTGTATCCCGTTTTTAATTCTGAGTGGTTGCTTCATTTCTATGGCTACRTCCTGTTCAGCTAGAGCAATTTTTCATGTCCTACTAAAAATGCTGAAAAARCTTTTCATAACTTATGGTAGAAAGATATTTAACGATCCATTTTCCTCTAGATCAAAACAGTAGACAGGGATTTTTTTTAAGTGATGTAAGTAAAGGAAACTCCTCTMTGCCTTCTATATAGCAAAGGCAGCAAATGCATTTGTAGTCAGTCTATTCCTAGCCTTTCACTTCAGTCACACATATGTGCCTCTCCAACTGTTAAAAATCACCTACCAACTGAGATGTTGTGTGGGGAAAACTAGAAGGGTAAATGACAAGTGTTATGTGCATTGGAAACAGTTGCTGCTTTAAGGGGTTTATTGTCCAATGTTACATATCTGACTTTCTGGATTGCTAAAGTGCTGTTACAATTGGCAGATTTTCATGCTAATAGAGTTGAAACTATGTCCTCATGAGTGTTGTTATTATAATCTAAAGCTACATATGCTCTTTTTGTAGACATCTTTAATTCCATACAACCTGGAGCGCTCCTATTTTTATATGGTTAATACTCACATAAGTTGTAGGAGTTCATAATGCTAAACAGTGGGAGGTAACTATCAGCTATGCTGAATGAGTCCCATCTGTTTTCTTCTAGGTTAGTATAAATTGCCTTTTTATTTAGTCACTTGGAAAAAGCCGAACTGTATTGGTTTTCTGGAAACAGCAGAAGAGGAGAGAGTGTTTATTAAGCATGTCTTTAACATTCAGCTATGTTTCTTACTGGATCTACATTACTGACTCCAATCTGTAGGTGAACTTGCTACCTGTGTGCTGTGATCACCTTACCTGGGATAGGGTTCTCCAAACATAAGCCTTTAGAACAAGCACAGACCGTGTTTTTCTCAAAGCGGAAGCTCTGTTCAAATCATATCCCAAAGTTTTTCTTTGATCTTTATGGAGTAAGACTCCAAAATACTTTATTTTCAGTAGGAGTAACTCGAGAACATGTTACTTGGATATGGATGAAACTGTGATCAGGCCTGAAATCCTTATCAGAGCTGGACAATGGCTAAGATGAAGACAGACTCTTGGAAGGCTTTTGTCTTCAGCTAAAATATCCTTTGGAATTCAGAAATGTGGAAGCAGAGCCATCATCTTGGTAACAAAGCAACCTCTGAAAAGCCACACAAAAAACTCCAAGCTGTGTATCTGGCAGAGGTTTTCCATGGATCTGGAGTGAACCAAGTGAGTTGGGATTAGTCAGTCAGACTGCTCACACCAGTAAACTGGTGAGCAGTAAATGAAGGAAGCAAGACAGAGCTGCTTTCCTTTCCATCCCTATAAAAGACTTCTGGATTTGAGCAGGATACAAGTACTCATCCTGGTAGCAGATGAATCAAGAGCTTGGCAAGGCAAGCTTTGTTCCTATCATTGGGCTGTCTCCTACAAGTTCCAGTGTTTGGTCTTTAAAAGTCCTTGGAACTTGCTGGAGGAAAATTTCAATTGGAGCTGAACGCAGCATGTTGTATTTTGAGGCTTTGATTATTCTGGGTCTGACAGGCTCATGGAGATTTCATTGCCTCTGGGCAACATCTGCAGTGAAGCCTTGTAACAAAAGGATTGAGTGGCCTCACAGGGCTCCTTGATAGCCTGTATTGCATTAGATGGGAGATGTGATTACGTAGCCAGGGTAATTAATTAGCATTTCCATAAGCAGTCACAAGTCCTGTTAACCTTGTAAATGCAGGAGGCAGGAATGAAGCACAGATGTGAAGGCGCTGAAGGTAAACTCTGTGTGTGTGTGTGTGTGTGTGTGTGTGTGTGTGTGTGTGTGTTCACTTGATTTTGTTGATGAGCTCCACTAAATACTTTTAGGACCAGCCTTAATTTAACGTAGCTAAGGATGCAAATACAGTCAACAGCTGTTCACATCTCCATGGCAGCTCTTTGGCAACCAGTGCTACAGTAAAATCTTGAAATAAAATAAACTCCCCTGCCACATTGAAGGGGGAAGCTGCTGGTCAGAATGCTGCTTCCCCCAGCTGCTGGGGGAAGATGTGGAACTGGCTGAGAAAGAACATTAGGGGTCCCTGGGCTTGGTCTGCTTCAAATGAAATGCTCTGGTAACAAAAGCTGTATATTGCCTACAGACCAGGTTTCAAACCAGATTTTCTGGCACTGGATGTGGCTGTATGTGACAAAGGAAGTCATTCTCTTGCAGGAGGCCCTGCTTTCTGGTGGAGTTTTGTTTCTCTTCGCTGCTGTTGTGTTCTTGTTTTCCCTGCTCCCCAATTCTCTTTCCTCCTCCGTGGGCTTTCTTGTTCCCTCACCGCTGATGATATGGAGGATTTGCTTCCTCTTAAAGCATCATTGCTTTTCCTGGCCCGTTTGGCCAAGCTTTTCCCATAGTTTAAGGGGGGTGTGTGTGTGGTACTTTTTTTGTTTGTTTAGTTTTTTTCCCCTCCCCTCTGTTTCTCGAGTGGCAGACCCTGCTTGCTGAAAGCCCAGGTCTTGTGCGCCTTTCTATTGCCTCTGGCGCCACAGAAATAATTGGTCAATGATATTAGGAGCCTTGTAACTTCCCCAGCTGTATATCTTTCGTCTTTTATAACCTGGCAACAGATGAATTTTAGGACCTTTTAAAAAATTATTGAGAACTTTGGAGTCAGTGGGACTGCAGCTTGTGCCTTGCAGTGATGATGTGAAATAAATGTCATGTTAGGGAAGGGTGTAGAGGAAAATGGGAAGCCAACCAATACTGCCTAAGGGGTAAGAAAAGCTCTCATGCTGTTCCCAGGGCCTGGTTGGGGGGGTTGCTCATGGCCTGTCTCTCCCTGCCAGCTCTGTATGCCAGAACATGCCTGCTCTTTCTGTCTTAGTCCTGGGATCAGCAGAGCTAAGTCCATCCTTTCTCCAGTTGCCATTTGGGCTGCTTGGCAAGATTCCTCTCTGTAGTTTTCCCCCTTTCAGTCTTCCGTTTGTTTTAATGTCTTGCCCAGTTTGAAGGTGCTGAGTACTGCAGGTATACGAGCACAGGCTGGGAAACGCAGCTTGCCCCATCTCCTCAGTCCCTTTCAAGGGTCACACACTTCAGGATTAAACCACTCTAAACTGCAGTCCARTGCCTCTAGCCCAGACTCTTTAGTCACAGCATCTGCAGAAGAAATGCCCCTCGGTGATAAATGACAAATTATTGCTAGAAATGAACCATTTAAAAATAGACTGCAATTAACTTCCWCCTCTGCTGCCTACGCTACTGCCCTTACTGCTCTATTACTCAGAGCACTTTAAGGGTAGACTGCTCCACATTTACCCAATATTTTCTTTGAGCAGCAACAACCTAAACAGCGTGCTCTGCTGGGCCGATTGCTTTGTTGAACTCACTTCAGTCAGTGGGTTATCAAATCAGATCATTAGTGCTGACTGCTGGCTAATGGGTRGCTGGAAGAAAGAAATACCGCGCTTTATTGGTAGGCTCCGCTTAGCACTTACTCATCTCCTATGTAGAGGTTGGGCCAGACTTCGCTGACGTGCGTGTACTTGGGGCATCCTTTCCAGAAGAGCCGCTCCAGTTCGAATGCGCCCGGCGTACAGTAGTCCCCGTCAGGATCCACTTTGACTGCTGTGTATGCGTTTTTCCCAATGTTCAAACCTACTGATGACATCTTGTCTCGGCACGTGTGAGATACTGAAATGCAACCAAAGAGGAAGGTGAGGCTGAGGGAGCCCAAAGCAAGTGAGCTCTGCCCCTGCTAAGGACGCACTGAGAGCAGCATTGTCCACCCGCAACCTGGCATGGAGAAAGAGGGATGCATGAGTTTGTTGCCTGCGCTCAGCAGCAGCAGCAGAAGTCATGGGTTTGTGATTAAAGTTTTGTCTCTACTGGAAATTTGTTCCCTAGAGAATCTACTGCTAAGAATATGGTTGATCTAGCACTGAGGTGTCTAGAGCAGTCAGTGGAACGAGGTAAGAGAAAGGTTAATATATGGCTTTATCATTAACTGTTAATCTCCCAAAGGCTTTTTCTGTGTATGTGTGATTGTCCGGCAACCCASTGAGACTCTGTGTCCATTCAAGATCTTATTCAAAATCTTACTGCAGCCCTGTGCGTTGAACCTCGTAGGCTCTTCCCAGAAATGAGAATTTGCCTTGTTGCAGCACTTCCCTTAAGCCAGTGTGACTGATTGACAAAGTAATTTTTAGCCAGGGTTGCAACTGCCTGGGAGGGAGAGTTTGCAAAGGTGCTGATCCCGGTGAGGAGATCTGAGTGTGGATTCTCCACTGCAGTCACCRAGTGCTATGTTGTCACTTCGGTGCAGTTCATTGCTGCACCTTCTCGCATTGCAGATATGCAGTGAGTTAAGGAGAACTTAGGGATTTTTGTTTCATTCTTCTGACTGAGTACCCGTTTCCAGGAATATGGGCACTTTTTAAGGCAATTTTGGTCTATGAGACAGGACCTCTTCCTGTGTTTCTGCCCTATGAGAAGCTTTCAGTACTAAAAGCTGTGGTAAAAGTTTTTCGAGTCAAGGGCTCGAGGACTTTTTTTTCAGGTTCCTTCCTTTTTACCTAAATCTCTGCACTAGGTGGTGAAAGAAGCAATAGAGCAGTAGCTAAATTGASAGTGTCATTAGTGTGTCTGGAAACAACTCCATGTTATCAGACAGGTTGTCCTCAGAACTGACAACCTTAATGTCCTGCGTGTTTAAGCTGTCTACTAGTACTGGATCTTTTGTGCCAACTTAACTCATCTCTTCAAGCTTCAGCCCCCSTTTTGCCTGCTGTGACTTCCTTGGTCACCAGCCTGACCCAGACTTTCCCAGTGCAGTTTGCCTCCAGCTCAGTGGCATCACAGGTTATGGCCCCATTAGTCACCTCCGTCCTCTCCTTCTGGGGCTGCACCTTGCTTGGGAGGTGGCCCCCTGTGAGCAGAGGACTCAAAGGGCAATCTGGAGTTTTCAGAGCTGGTAAGTGAAGGCAAACATGAGTACCTGTGGAAGCCCAAGGCTGACTTGAGCCTTACCTCCTCCATCAGCACCGTTGCACCTCAGAACGTGGCCAGTAACAACGTCTGTTCACCAGAATCTTCTCCTCCTTCCGTCAGTTATTTTGATCCCTTTTTAACTTTCTTAACCCGCTCCATCTGAGGGACCTCAGGAGGAGCCCAGTGACCCAAGGGTGGCAGGGGAGCCCGGCACAGCAGCAGTGCCACTCGACTGCGCTCTCTGCTCTTGCTGGAGTGGGTTTACGTCAAAGGTCTTTCCAGTTATTTTTACCTCATCTTTTGGTCATTTTTGCAGGGAARAAACCATGGCAAAGAACATCTATGCATTCTTATTAAAGAATAAGAAATTACATTAACAAATGCGAAAGAAGTTTCCCTTTCTTCACATTGCTAACTTTCTGTTGCAGCTGCTTTCCTTGTCCGCTCCCTCCCTTGCTGGCTCTGTCTTGATGCTCCTGCTGGATTGCCCGCTGTTCCAGGCCAGAGCTGTTTCCTTCTCTTATCCCTTGAAAGAAAAAGTTGAACCCTGCAGTTCTGCAGGAGGCTCCTAACAAGCAGAGCTGGAGTTGGGCTTGATTTTATGAAGAGTGTAAGTACAGCCTGCCAAAAATCTACCTTTTCTTGCAGGCAAAACCCCTGTATTAACTTCCACTTTTTTTTTATGTTGGTCATTAGTGATGTTGTGTCCTTTTCATTGCAGGAATCTGGCTGGTGACTTCATGGAGCCGTTGCAGGGCTCCCTTGCAAGCAGCAGGACCATTTTCACTGTCATCCTGTGCACCCGGTGGGTTGTTTTGACAGTTTGGGTTTTTGTGCTTGCCGTGCTTAGTTGTTGCACAAAACGTGCAAAAGGCAGACACGCCCCATTTTTCTACTCCAAACCTTGGCAAGATTATGGAGTTGGGTTTGGTTTGGCTTGTGTGCACCTTTACCTCAAAACTGGCTTGTTTTCACTGACAAGGGGATCTATCTTTCTGACAAATTTCCTAAATCATGGCAATGATGTTTAACTAAAAGGTCTTCTGTTTGGATCCTGTGAATTCCGGTTTCCATCGTGTTTAGCTTTCTGCTATAACTTGTGCTCCTCAGGGTGACAATCCCAGCTTTGGGCCTTCAGCAGCCATTCCTTAGGAGAGCCTGTTCCCTCCTAGTGCTAGAGTTATGGTTCTACACACAGACTTGTCAGTGTAAATAAACTTATACTGCCAGAGAKGCAAGTGTAATATCGTCTACGTTGTGAATGAACAGCTGTTATCTATAACTTGGTAAGAGCTACTCTTTATCCAGTAAGGGAGTATCTTAAGAGATTGAAACCTGTTGCCTTGATGCTTAGCAATGGACCGCATTTCTTTCATAAAAGTAGAAGGGAGGAAATGAGGGAAAGAAGAGKAAGAGAAGGAAATGTGATTAGTAATCATGTCTGGTGGCCACAGTGCATTCATTTGCTACAYCAGTAATACTGCACTCAGAGTGCAGACCTCAAAACAGGGCAATTACATCTGCAAATGATAGTCTGTGGTACTGCAACATAGCATTTAGCTTGAGGCTTGGTTACCAATCTGAAAGTTAGATGTCTGCTGAGAAATGCTCGTTTTGTCTGTCCTGGGAAGCCATATTCTCCCTGAACTTTCAAGTAAAATCTGTTCTTTTATTTCTTGCCAATGTTATCTGCTGCAGGGATTTTTAAATTGAATTAGAGTACAAGGAAGCATCAGTTGCAATTCCCATAATAAATCATATATTTCAGAATTGATTCTAGACTAGAGTAAGAAGCAGGAGAGTTTAGCAAAGAGGAGGAAGAACAAGAGAGCTGGCTTGTTGCATGGGCTCTGGAATTAATTACTATGAGGCATTTCTTTGGGGAGAAGGATAGGAAGGTTTGTGACTTTCCAGGAACCAAAGGGGTCAAACCTCATCTTTTATTGATGGCTTTGCGTAAACCAAGCGGAGCCAAAGGAAGGCTGCTCCTTAGGCCAGCCCCTTTAGATAAAAAAAAAAAAAAAAAAAAAAAGGGATTTTTTTTTTGTGGTTTTACTTAATACTACAGTATATATAAAGATGGCAGTTTGTCTAATACAAGTCCTGACAGCGAAAGCTCGGATTTCTTTTGCTGATTTTGGAGGATAGTCCCGAATGCCCTGTGTGCAAGGACTTTGCACCCTGCTGCTCCTTGAGCTGCTGTCCCAGCACGCGACAACCCACGTCCCCAAAAGGCTCCTTGCCCATCCAGTGTGGGAATGCAGTGCTTGACTGCTGGTGCTCACTGGTTGCGCTGTCAGGGACTTCAGTGCTTTATCGGAACAAGGATGATGATAATTCAGGCATCTACACTTTTATACGCTAATTGTTCACTTCATGAATAAGACCAGAGTTCACGTTATCTAATGAATTTTATTCATTAATCACTTGGATGACTGGAATATTTCTCCCCCTTGGGTTATATGTATATAAATGAAAATATTGTTAGTGATTTCACAAAATGGTAATTCAGAATAATGGAGAGTTAATCCTCTTTTCATTAGCGAGCCACTTCAGGACATACACTGTGGCAAATTACACTGCATTTCAAGTTGTTCTTGAGTGCTGTGTGCTAGAAAAAAAACATGAAACTATTTTTGCATTGATAGAAGTAATTGTGTGGCTAATTTGGATAAGCAGCATGCATTAGGCACAGCACAGGAATCTCTTCTTTATGCTTGGCAACCATTCTACAGCTGCCAAATGGAACTGCTTATAGTGCTTTTTAGCTATTTTATTTCATTTTTAACGAAAAAAAGGGAGAGAGAGGAGGAAGGAGGGAGGAAAAACTAGAAGTCAAAAAAAGAAAATCATCAGGGGTATCTGCTACTCAATATTCAGAGAGGGAGTATTGTCTGGTGACTGCATCAAAATTATGACAGTTAAAGATTTCCTGTCTTTCTCTGCACCTCATTCCCCGTCCCTCGAATCCAGAATTCCCAGGAAAGTTCTGCCAAGCTGCAGAATTTAGTGGCCCATTTCCAGCTATTTTCTGCAGGAAGAATGTGCAAATGAAATTGTAGCAGCTCCAAACTTGGTTAATACTTCTGGAAACCTCAGACTTTCCTCTGTAGCTCTGTAATTCCTCACATGAARGGAGAGGAGCTGAGGTTCCCATCTAGAGGCAAATACCTAAGCTCCTGTGATGGTGGGCACAATTCTCGTGCTTGTTTTCTAGACTTGGTGAAAGTTTCTGAAGAACTTGTGAGGAATTGGATCACAACACAACTTTTGACATTTCCAATAGATCTTGTACCCATACTGATTCAGCAGGAGATAAACATGGTGTTCTTGAAATCAGTCATTGATTTGATCCTCAGGTCCGAGGATTGCATTTTGTCTACTGTCATTATTTCTAAATTAGAAAGTGGAATAATAAAGTGAAAAAMCAAGTTAAAGTTAAACTAATTCTATGTGTGAAGCACTTGTTTTGACAAATGATTGCCATTTTCTTTTCTGGTATTGTTTGGTGAAATAACTTATTGGAATGTTTAATTTATCAGGTGCAATTCAGCTCTGTCAAACTCAGAAGAAATTTTGCCACCAGTCTTCCAGTGAGTCCAAATCTGATTGTACTGGCTCTCGGACAACTGCAAAAATAATATGCATTTTTGTTGTTGTTGTTTGTTTGTTTGTTTTCAATTTAT